CGGCCCTCCACCCCCAGGTCTTCCCCAACCCCAGCGCCCGCTCCTCTCCTCCTCTCCGACCCTAGCTCTTTTCCAGGCCTCCTCTGCACTCCAGCCAGGTTAAGAGTGCGGGCGGGAGGGCAGGGGGCTTCCAGAGGAATTATCCTCAGTAACCGGGCCACAGCGCCAGGCTGGCCTGGGAATACCCAGATTGTAATCCTACAGCTCTGTGTGGACAGGCTGACGCTGGGAGAGGCCTCACCCGCTCTGGGACTTGGTTTCCCCGTCTGAAGACAGCTGTGAAATGGGCTAAGACCTTCCCCTTTCTAAGCTTCGACCTTGGACTAGTTATTTAGCTTCTCTGTGCCTCAGTTTCCTCATGTTTATAATGGGGGATTAATACCTTCACCTCAAAGGAATGTGAGGTTTGAGTGACATAATTTATACACAATGTTTAGAACAGTGCAGGGCACCAAATAAAGTTCACACATATACGGTTCTTAACTCTGGTCTTCCTTTGCTGCTCATTAAGATAACACAGGGTCTGACACAGAGTGAGGGATCAATGCTCAAAGTAATCTTTTCCCCAAAAAAGAGCCCTGTCAACTCTTTCTGAGATTCTAAAAGCCCTGCACTTGGACCCCTGGGGTCTTGACTTCCTGAGCCCTAAACTCTCCATGTACTCTCCTGAGTTCTGGCGAGGGGTCATCCACAATAATTTAAGCACAGGGGCATGTGGAGCCCTGGAAGTTTCCAAACAGAAGGCGGAAAAAGCCCAGGGTGTAGGCTGTGCCTGCTCTCCAGCCTGTTTCCCCACTGGAGTAGGGAGAAGTTATTCCCTTGGGTGGGGTCTGCAAACCTCATTGGAAGTGACACCTTTGAACAACTGCCTGAGACAATGGGAACCATCCGGTCTACCTGCCAAGCCTAAGCCCGGCACACTGTGAGCTCTGTCTTGGCAGCCATGGTTATTATTTTTAATGTCATCGCAGGCTATTACCAAATGCCCTTCAAGCCCAGACTTTTAGGAAGTTCTTCCCTCTCTCATCAGAGCCCCTTGCCTCCCCCACCCTCTAGTTTAATCCCTTCACGTGACACTTGGGGGTGGAGAGAAGGGGGAGACAGACAGAGGGAGGTGCGGGGCTCTGCCCTCCCCCTGCTTCAAGGACAGACACACACCTCCAGAATTAGCCTCTATCCCTCCCTTATCTCCCACGCTACCTCAGGTCAGACAGATGGGGGTGGAGGTGACATTTCTCACCTCGGGGTCAAGGTGAGTAGCCCTAGGAGGGAAAAGGTTAGTCAGAAAATCTGGTGGGAATAGATGGAATTCTGTACCCCTTAGAGCTGCAGAGGGAGGGGGATGCCACATCCTGCCTCCCCCCAACTCTGACCTCTTACCCCCATTCTCTCTGGGTAATGACTGTGTAGTGCCCAGCCAGGCAAGCCTCCCAGAACCCGGACCCAACCCCACCTTCTGGAATTCTGCCCTGGGTTCTACTTAGAACTCCCGCCCTCTGCAAACCCCAGTTGTTTCCCACCTCCATGGGGCAATCGAGGCACCACGCCCGCGCCAGGGGGCGCCCTGGGGCGGAGGTCCCCTCTCTGGTTAGGCAGGTCTGACGCCTCGGTTAATGACATGTTGGGGATCGCGCAGCGGCACAGAGGAGGTTGGAGAACTGCCCCACTCCTCCCAC